AGGGGAAAACTTTAAGTTTTAGCATAACTTACTCAGCAAAATGATATGGCTGAACTTAAACACTGCTGACTGCTAGGATTTAATATTAGAACCTGGCAAATGTTTTGATAACTTAATACTTTTTAAAAGAAAGCTCGTTTGTTAATGAACATTTTGGAAGTTCAGAAGAAATATAATCTAAAAAATAACAGAGCTAAAGATCAAAGAGATGTTTCTTCTTTTTCCCATTTTTTCCATTTCCTCTACCTTAAACGGGTTCCTCCATGCTAGTATTTTAGAGGCCTTTTTATTAGTAGTAGATTCAAATATCTCCGAGATATTCACCGTACAGCTCAGCAAGAGTCCAGGTTTTCCTCCAGCAGTGGAAAAATGGCAGGCCTAGTAGTCTGGGGTTTGTTACTAAAAATGAGTCCTTATTTAAAAAAAAAAAATAAATTACAACATTGTTTAGAGCATGTGGTTTGCTGCTATTAAGTTAACAGTGGAAAATCTCATTACTTTTAAAGTTAATTTTATTTGTGGTGGGATTGTTCTCTAGGCTGAAGCAGATTTTCTCTTAAGTGGAGCCTCTAATCCTACCTTACAGTTTTCTGTTCAGCAAGTCACTCTCTGCATAGCTTGGCTAGATGCATGTTTTAAGTCAAGTGTTGAATTAAAACGAAAAAAAGGAAGAAAAATAACTTTTCCCCGCATGTGACTCTGGGGCTGCCAGCAGGCACCTGTGTGCCGTCTTCTCCAGCTCTTGCTCTGACTAGTGGAGTTTTCCAATAAAGGTCTTGGGTTAAAGATGCACTTTGAGCAGTGCTAACAAAGTTTCTGCCTCTAATGAAAGATTAGATGCTGCTGAGTGCTCTGACAGGACAAATTAGAGATTGGGCAAATTCTAAAACCAGCTCCATGCAGGAAGCACCGTGGAGAAGTAGGGGTGAAAGATGGGTGTAACATGGTCTGGTGGCCCAAGGGCTCTGAAAATCAAAGTGGCCAAACAGAGAAGAAGAAAATAGAAGACTGTTCAGCTTTCTAGTTCAGGTTTCTTTTCAAATTTTGGAAGCAATTAATCTGACTTCTGACTTTTCATTGAGGCTATAATGATTTACAGCAACAGAGAACCAAATCTGCAATTTGAGGGGAAAATAGCACCAAAACAGAAGCCTTGCTTACAGCTTGCATGTATATATATCCTACTTACAAGTTTAGATGACTCAAATCTATACTCTCATGGTTTAAAATACCAAGTGAGATTCAGAGTCACATAATATTTGTGTCCCACCAACAGCCCAGTGGGTTTTTTTTCTTGGTAATATATGCTCACACCATATAAAATTCATTCTTGTGCAAACGTGAGCCATTATATTGTAAATTCCACTCACAATCAGCCTATGGGCTGTAGTTCAAGATACTCTTAGAACTACAACCTCAGCCATTCCCCTTGCACTTCTCTAGTTACCAGTTCACCATGAAAAGTTAACATGTGAATAACCAAAATACATATGCACAAGATCACTGATTATTTGATATTATGGTATGAAATATCACTTTGGCCAGTTTGGGTCACCTCTCCTGGCTATGCTCCCTCCCAGCTTCTTGTGCACCTACTCACTAGCAGAGCAGGAGACAGTGAAAAGTCTTTGATTCAGAGTAAGCATTTCTTAGCAACAACTAAAACATCAGTGAGCTATCAACATTATTCTCATACTAATTCCAAAGCACAGCACTGTATCAGCTAGTAAAAAAAAAATTATTTGTATCCCAGATGCCATCAGGACAATCTCACTGCAGTTCATCACTTTATTTCAAGCCTGTTACACTAAAATTTTACAAAAACTGAAAGCAGAGCAAAGGACTGTTCATTACCCCACTGTGAATAAGAGCACATTGGGATGAGAGGTCTGATCTTCACAGTGGCATGAGCTCCTGCAGCTCCCGTACCAGGTAGAAAGAGCAGCAGGTGTTCAGCATCTCTGAAATACCAGGTTTAGAACTTAAAACACATGAATCCTTGAATGACCTCCAAGTCATGAAGTGGCTCCTGTCATTTTGGGGCTCGGAGCCATATAGAGCATTGTTACAGATTTGGGAAATGAGTTCTCAGTGCCGGATACAACTATAAAAACATACAGAGTGGAATTTGGGTCTTACCTCAAATCCCTTGTTTTACAAATGAACAAAAGGTAAATGTAACTAACCTGGGGCTGAGAAAATTTCATCTCTTGCAGATGTCTTAAGTATCAACCAAGACAGAGAATGAAGACAAGAACAGAGGGTGAGCCTTAGAGCTGTGGCATTCATCTGTGCCACGGGGTTGTGAAACCAACTCATTTTTTGACATCTCACACATGTGCAATTGAAAAGTGAATCTGCAGAAAGGAGTTATTTCAAGAGCTGAGTGAAACTAGCTTGCTCAGTTAGCAGAAGTTTTGTGTTAACTTTCTTATATTTTGCTGCATACAGTTCTATACTCCAGGAGTTTTGCTTTGAGTTTTAGCTTCAAACAAACCAAAACTGAATGTAAACCACTGTATTTTGAAGTTTCATGTTGAAAATATATCTCACACAAAAAGTTTCGAAAGCCAAAGTGCAGAGTACTGGTAGCCTGGGGTAGCTCAGCCCATGTTCAAACTGTCAGACTGAGGGCTAGAGACAAGATCTCCCTACATGTAGCGATACTGATATCTAGCTTTTCTGGGCAGTACCATGTCTGTATGAAACTACTTAAGCCCACTCAATTTTATGTAGTTTTCTTCCAGGAATAATAGACGAAGCTATCCCAGAGCTGTCAGACTAAACTAACGTTAAATAGTAGCAAATTAGTAATTGTTATTTTTAATAGATTTGTTTCTAGCTAGATCCCATAAGATTACTATAAATGCTTGTTTAAACAGAAATCCAGAGATACAGATAACATTATTTTCTGCTAAATGAATGCTGGTTGCTTACCTGTACCTTATCAAATATGATTTGCCAGAAGCAGCACAGTAGTGTCCAGAAACACCTTCCTGAAGGAAGTTTTCCTTTATTTTATTCACTTTCACATTTGTTTTCTTAGCAGCCCTTCAGCCCAATGGTTAACACATTGGATTATTCTTAATGGACTCAGAAAATCATTTCTGTCTGATTATCAGACAGCACTTATCATATTTCCATGATCATCATTCAACTTTCCACTACATTAATAACTGGGACTGATTTTACCTAGCAAGCAATCTAAACCCTCTAACTTGACAAAAATATCCCGTGCTTATTTCTTTTTCTAACCATCTAAGAAGGTCACTGCGACAATTCTGGGTATCAGCATTTCTCCTGTGTGATTCACTTGCACCAAGCAAACCCTCTAGACCTACATTTTTCCTTTTTTGCATTTCGGCTTAACCAATAGGATTAACAGGTCCCCTTCTCTGTGGGTGATGATAATGTCAGTACACCACTGCCCAAATAACCTTTCTCTATAGGGAAATGCTAACATTTAATTCTTCAAATTCAAACCACATGTATTTTGGCCTCATAACAGCACTCTGTATTACTGCCTTTTGTTATTAATTTGTATCACTAAAAATCCTAATGAAACCAGTTATTGGAAATGTTAAGTGTAGTAGACATCTAAAATTTGCATATGAACTAAAATATTTAAATGGTGGCTAAATATTTTATCTAATCATTGTAAACACATTTTCAGAATTACTAATGACACATCTCTGTGTATGTTCAGTTTAAAGCTGTGTCTCAGAGGAGCTATTCTTTTCAGTCTGTTTCAGGGGACATAAGCAATGGCTTTCAAATGGTTTCTATCTTTTACCTTAATCTTATCCAGAAATAAAAAGTGTCATTTAAGTGCTGTCTACATGAGACCTCCACCTAGAAGAGCAAATTATGTGTGCATTGGCCACATCCAGTTTCCCTCCTGGTATTCTCTGGAAGAGGCACTGCCACTGTATACAGTCTTTGCATATGTTGCCATCGGGTGACCACAAATATACAGCTGCCAGTGTAGTAAAAATGTTAGTATTTGGGACAAATACTCAGGTACTTCTTGTTCAAACAACATGAACCACAGATTCAAGAGTTTCCCCAAACTAAGTTGTTCCTCAGTAAAATTTAACACAATGGCAAATATCAAAAAACTGATAGACAGGTTAACTTTAAACCCACAATTATATTAAAAACTAGGGGAGGGGGGAGTGTAGAAAACTGTATAAAATTTTAAAGTGTTTTCAGTGACCTCTAGAAATGAAACAGTTTATGTAACGTTTACACACAGGATTTAGGTAATATTTACATAGTTACATACTTATAGTCATTGTTTTAATTAAACATTTCATGTTTTATCATAGAGATGTATTATTTAATACATATAAAACTGTAAACCTTTATGTTGCACATAACAAAGTTTAGATATAAGCACATTATCTGTAGAAAAACATTTTTTAAAACATATACCAACCCACAGGTACAAATTTCCACGGTCTTTTTTTTTTTTATTTGAATTCTGTAGCAAATTCCATCAACTATATCATTCACCGCCTGAAATATACTTTAGTCCCCTGGACTAATATTAAAAAAAGGAATGTATTTTCCCAGTCTGTTTGGGGAGGGCTACAGGGGCTGGCAAATTATATTAAAAAAAATCCTCAGTCATCGGAGATGTTTCCATCAACTCCAGAGATATTCTGGGTGCTTAGGTTGTAGCTCTCCCAAGGCTTCCCATAATGTGCATTCTTTCCCATTTCACAATCTTTCAATTAATTCTCAATCCATAAACTTTTATCACATGTCCTGGTATTTGGTTAAAGCATTAAAAATGCCATTACATCCTTCTTAAGGGACAAACCACTCCTAGTTCTCTGTAGGAGTTTTCTTCCACCTTCATTCAAGCTCAGACTCCCAGTGATCACTGAAATGAATGACACCAAGAGGGTATCTATTTCTTGTTTCAAATAACCATTACAGCCATGCTTTGGGGGTTCATCCCGAAAATGATTGATAAACACTTAAAAAAGAAAAAGGACATGAAAACAGTTCTACTTCACTCACAAATCATACAATTAATACTGTACATTACTAAATCAGATTTTACGATTGCTTTCTAAGTCACCCTCCATCATGACCTTTTCTGTAACTATTTCATTTTTTTAACTTCGGTAAAAATAATCCAAATTCCTTTCAATCATAATACTAGTAAGTGATTTTAAAAAGCCCATAGGAAAGTGTTCTCTGCCTATACAATCCTAATTAATGCCTGTGGTGAATTTTATGCAGAATTTGCTACCTTCCAATAGCTTTAATTTTATTTTAAGATGAGTTATATATTTCATACATATACAATATGTAATTTGTATATATTATATACAATGAATTGCTCTTGTTATAAAATAACAATTCAGAAATGCTCAACTCCATGTCGTACAATTCATATACAACTATACTAACTAATATATTCAAGGTTTTTAACTTCCCTCTGACCATTATAAATTGGACCTGATTAACATAAGTTTCTAATTGTGTGTGTAATCAATGTAAGTATTTCTTTTTAATGCAAGTATTTCTTTTATTCCTTCTATCCAAGTGCCCTGGTACCTGAAATCACTGCTTTCTTCAGCACAATTAGTTTCCTGCATCATGCCCCAAACTGAAGAATCAAGCTTCCTTTTGCCAGACTCCCAGCAGTTTTGAATATCAAACCCCTATGGTCCTGATGAGAAGCCCCAGGACCTTTCATGGTGCATAGTCTCAACAATAGCAACTCCCAATTCACACACAGATTCAGCTCAGCCACCGTAATTCAAAATAGACTCTTGACAGCATCCTGTTGAACACAGTAACTCTGTACTTGTTAGATATGAAATTACTTTCCCGCCTCTATGTCCTGTTAAATTGAAATCAAACACCTCAGATGGAATTACCTTCACAGATGTAGTATCTTTAATTTTGTTAAGCATTTGTAGAGGCACATTAACTTTTACAGCAGTTTTCTAAAGGAGAAATTCAAGTGCCTAAAAGAAGGTGCCTAATGCCTGCTGGAATACCCTGGAGCATCCAGGATATCTGTGCGGAGCTGGCATGATGTGGGACCTACGGGAGGCTTTTGACCTTTGACAAAAGACCACACCTTTAAACTGGCAGTGAGAGACCAAGTGGGATCCCCAGGGGCTCTAAAATGGCACAGGAGGTCTATGTTTAGGCATGCACATTTTTTCTAAAATTAGTAAAATAAAACACTAAAATTAAAAACCAAATAGACTAAATAGAATTTTACATTATTTCACTTAGCTAAAAACATGGAAAAAATTAGTAAAAACTATAAAGAAATTGTTGTATAAATCTCATCCTTTACTGTATAAAAACCTGCTGGATATCATCACTGCTTGTTATCTTGATCCTATAAAGTTCATAATGAACTAGTCACATTCACAATACTTTTATACTTTCTGACTTGAAATTTTAGAATACCACTACATTTCAAAGTTAAAAACTCAAAAAGTCAGAAAACAGTAATACAGGCTTCATGCAAATCCAAGAATACAGCTTTTAGCTATTTTAGAGTCAAGTTTTTAATTCTAAGTTTATGTACTATTTTTTCCCATTCAGCAACTAAGTGCTTGATACTGTTCACAGGAAAAACATTGTGACATTCATAGTTATATAATATATTGGAAAAGACATGGCTGCCTGCAGTACAATTATTTTACATTACTTTGTTGCAAATACAAATTTTATAAATGTAAAATTGATTCCCACTTCAATGTGCTCCTTGCAGCCAAGCCTTGGAGCTTGTTCTCATACTTTTCCTCAAGCAAATTTCCCTTTAATTCCAAGACGAGTTTTGGTGGAGCATCACAACATAGTAGCAAACCATCCTTTATAGTAACACTTCTAGAAATGGCTAAGGAGAAGATAAGCCTGGCTGAACTAGTCAAATGGAAGATGATGGTGATGAATTTACCAGAAAGAAATCAGATACAGGGCTAAGACCTATCAGGTGAAGTATTTCTAGTAGGGTATGGAAGCTGTTGCATTAATGCTGTATACAGGGCAAGAACGAAGGATGCACAATTCTGCTTGCCTGTTTAAAGTAGATAAATTTAACTTAAAGTAATGCCAGGGGATGGAAAGTGAGCTTCTGGAAGAAAACTATGCAAACCGTATTTGTTCAGTCTAGGGTGCTTGGGCCCAAACCTCTCAGCTACATGCTGATGTAAATGGTAGGAGAAAAAACTAATGCAAAAAGACAATATAGATACAAGGGGTCTGGGTAAATTTAAAAGACAGAAAGACAGAAAAATATTTATAATCATGAGAGCTATGATGGGTCGGAACAAACTTCTATAGCCTATAGGGTGGGCAAGGCACCTCCTGCATGATTTTCACAGTAAGTTTGTTTTTAACAGCCAGAAGACTAGACTTCGTATACCAGGAACCCTCACAATGAACCAGCAGGGTCTTGGTTCTTTACAACTTAGCCATAGCTCTCTTACTGTGATTAAGAGAAATCAAAGAGTCTCTACATATTAAAGGATGTTGCAGCTAATACCCAGATGAACACTTAAAGGAAGGCATAAATGTTATGAGACATTAAAATTACTATGAGATTATTTTCTGCTTGAGGCTCATTTATGGAGTAGAAAGTTAAATACTACTTTTGGTTACTTCATACTGAATTCCAAACATTTCTATTGATTTCAGTTGCTTCAATGAGATTACTTCAAGTTTACATTGAAGTAAATGAGATCTGAATTCAACATCTAATTCTTTGTTTCCTTTGGGAAGATTGATGAGTATCACTGATTTTATAGTCATGGGGGGTAAGTAAGCAGTGTTAAACATGCCACAGAGAACAATAAAAAGCAGAAGATAGCTTTAAGCAGACATTGGTTTGCCTTACCAATTGTCTGCCCTTTGTTACTTATAGGTCAGGATAACTCACTGCACATAGATTATTAAAAAATGCAGACGAGCCAGCTTTCTTTGGGTTTTAATTTGGAATAAAGTATCCTTCAAAAGTCATATTTTAAGTAAACTTTTTTTCTTCTTTGTCACAGCCAAATTCTCCAGTTCAGGAATTTACAATATTTTCCTTTTTCCAGAATGACACCTGCTGGTGGGAGAAGCATGGATGAATTGCAGACACTTTATGGGTTTGATTGCAGCTAACCTGACATATTATCTGAGCATGCTCATCACCTGTGTCCAGGCCAACTATTGAAAATAAAGATGTGAAAACTGTAAAGGTCCTATAAGGAGTATGTTGTAGTAGTAATATATTTTTTCCAATCTGATTTAATATTTGCTCTTAATAAACCACAAAGCTACTTACTACTAAGACAATGCTTCCATGGTTTTTCAGTGTTGGACACTAGCCCTATTTTGGGAAGCCACAGAACTAAAATGTCAGATTGAAGTGAAAGCTAGAAGGAAACACTCCCTATCCTATGCAAAAAGCTGTTGTGCTGCTTCAAACCCTCGACTGCAAGTAAAACCAGCTGCTAATGCAACTATTGGTGCTTAACATCCCAAAAGATTAGCATCTCACAAAGAAGTATTGTGCACATGTTCCTGACTCAGTATAGGAGGACACAGCCACAAGAGACAGAAAGCAAGCTGTACCTTTGCCAAAACTGTCCGATACTGCTCAATACATCAGGCAGCATTAGGCTCTCTAATGGGCTTCCATAATCACAGCTCCTCTGCTGCCTGGGTCCACTGCCATAGCCTCCCCTACAGCTAAACCAGAGTCAGACCCAAGCTTTTGGTGCTTCCAACGCACAGAAATATTTCTAAAAGTGATTTCCAATGCTAAGAACTATATACAACTGTATTTCCTTTTTCTGAGCTGCAAAGCATCTACTGTCTTCTATAAAGGTAAGCTGAAGTGTAAGATGCTCCGAATCCTGAAGAAGACCCTAAAGTTGGACTCTAAACTGTATGTTTTAAGCATGACTTCTGAAGAAATTGTTGTGGAAAAAATGCCCAGTTATTTTATACATATATCTATATATATATATTAGATATTAAATTCAGAATTAGAATTCAAAGAAATCTTTTGAATTATTTACAAGAACATAAGCAAATATACACACTCAAATGTGTTCATCTTGGGTAAATTATTAATATATAGGTATTGCTATGGCATAACCTATATATAATATATAGGTATTGCAATAACATCAAAAGGCAAACTTTCTTGTTGATTACATTGGTTTGTTGATGGTGTTAGGCCGCAACTTGGGAGACTTAACTTCTGTTCCTGGATTTATCATTGGCATTGTTACGGCTTTGAGCAGGTAACTTCACAAATGTGTTCCTTCAGTTGTCCCATCTGTGAAAAGAAGATAACGTTGCATTATTTTGATGGTTAAAAGACTGATTTCCAAAAATTGTTTTTATTTTGGTAAATGCAAACACGTGAAAAGGGGGTTTCTTTCTGTAAACTCTGTAAACTAACTCAATATAAGACACATGAGACTGTTTTACAAAGATGACGAGAGTTTCAGTCCTACCTGTGGTTGTACATACTTCTGTTTATAGTGTCCATATTTGTCACACATATAATTGTGACTATCAAAACCTGGAAACATCATAACTGTGGTTTATCCTCCTTAACCTTCTTAACAAAGCAATGACTTCATGAAGAGCCCAGCTGCATACTGATGCCTTCCGAGTAGACCAGGGTAAGCACACTGCTGTGAACAGCAGCAGGATGGAAGCAGAAAGACTGATCTAACCCCCAAATCTCTGCTAGCCTGGACATGCCAAGGTTTGCGCTAGCAGAAATGCAAAGAGTATATTGCAGAAAAAATGCTTATGCAAATAAATTCCTACTTTTTTGTGGTGGACCCTGAGGAACTTTACAGAAACATGTTTTCTAGCTGCTTCCACTGAGCTCAAGGAGTGTCTTCTTGAGCACATCATTATCAACAATTGACTATGACTGTCTCAGTTCTGTGCTAGAATCCAGCAAAAAGACACTTCTAATCCCAAAGCATTAGTACTGCTTTTCTTGTAACATTAGAGGTCAGCTTGAGTTTTGATCTCAGGTTACTGCTCACCCTTAAGCAGTCATTCCAGTTTTTAATGCTATACATGGTGAAGGAAATGCATGCATGGGATAGAAACAGTCTGGGATTCAAATAAACCTCTGCACAAGGATGAGAGCTCTGAATTTTGCCACATTTTTCTGTTCTCTCACTCTACTGGTTGAACTCACATTGCATGGAATAAACTTGGAGTTGGGAATAGTTTTCATACCCCATTCTTTTTATTTCACCTGGGATGTTCTTAAGTTCAACATTTTAAGCCTTGCTCTCTTAATCGTGAGATGTGTGTGATTGCCATAGACCCATCCCACTTCTTATCCAGCAGCTATTAGGAAACTGCTTTGGACCACAGCACTGCAGCTGCAATGTTTCTAAGTGCTCTCATCACTTCTGGTAATGAGTTTCCAGCATAATTTCCCATAGAAGTCCTCCCATCCCTTCCCCCACCAAGCAGCATATGTGCCTTGACGAATCACAGCTCATCCAGACTCCCTTAGCTGCTAAACCATACTATGACCAAGAAGCTCTTCCTCAAGGGCATTCTGGCTTCAGCTGATCTCCTCAGGGACAGCCACGGGCCCTGCAGAAGTGACCTCTAACATTGAAGTTAAACATTACTTTAAACTGATGCACACAGAAGAAGAAATAACCATAACTGATACCATGGCTTAATCTTCTCAATAGTTTTGCACGTGTAGCTTTTCGTCCTCCTGTAACCAGCTTCCTCCAACTTTGGTTGATTCTGTACTTCTCTACTTTCTTCACATCAAAAAATAGGTCCTTACCTTCCTCTCTTTGTCTCATGCTTTCTTTATTTGTCTTACATACATGACTTCTGTATTTGTAAAGGACTTTATCAGCACATACCTTTTTGTTTGTCACTCTCAGAGGCAAATAGAGAAATTCATTCCTTCCAACCATAGTCCTTTGCAGTCAAGTCAGAAGGAACTGCTTATCCCTAGGGCACAGTAACTTCTTTGGGCTGCACAGACACCATGTCGCCACTTCTCAGTGACCAAGTATTTGTCCCACAAGGATGAATACCAGGTAACTTACATAAGTTTGGGGAATGTCACTTACTCTATATTGGCCTGAAGAGGTCTGGAAGACTTCAATTTACAACTGGGAAGTGTGTCCATTTCTTCAGAGTACTAAAGGTCGGTGAGCACTGGGAGTCTCCAGTGCGCAAGGGAGCAACGCTCGGAAGTGAAATGGTGTGTAGGGAAGCAGAGCTCCTGGAAACCTGAACCAACTCGTCAGTCTGCACTTCTGTTTGTGGGACAGATCTGATCGCAGACATGAGCACGTGCTACCCTCAACACCCTTGTTGAAAGCTCACTGTGTTCTTTCCTGAGCAGAGAGTCTCCCTGTCCAGACTACAGGGCAGCAGAGGAGGTGTACACTGCTATTTCCTTCCTCTTGGGAATTGTTAGCGCTATATGGGAGTTTGACTGCCAAAAGTGATACAGATACAGAACCACAACAGTGGAGGTAAATAAGAAGGTTCCCAAGTGTTGCATATTTTTTGCACTGTCTTTTTTTGCATTGTCTTTTTTTAGCTTTCCACACTGTTTCTCTTTGTCCCTTTCCCCTGAACACCAGAAGGACACTTAAGGTTCTCCATCTAAAGACATATACTTTCAGTCAAAATGTCATATATTTTAAACTGTGGTAAGAGCAAAGCAAGAGAGAATCCACACTCTAAGTGCCTTCTGCATCTGCACAGGACTGCTAAACACCATAGACTGCACTGGACTTAATTTCCATGGGGAAAAAAAGCATAATTACCTGACCCAAACTAGCAAGTAAACTTGATTAAAGAACTGCTGCTTCACTTCTTTTCTCCTCCTTACATTTCCCTTACTTCCAAATTTGTTTCCTTCTTCTCAGAGAAATCTATTTTCTGGGGATATATCAAATATGTTGCTATATGGCAGCAAATTCTTCACTGAGATCCAGAAAAGTTAGCTTCTACAAGTTGTTGCTTTTCCAGCTAATCAAAGTACCAGATTTGCATACCATGTACAAGGTGGGAGCTTTTTTTAAATTAGTTTCCCCCTGCCCCATTGTTTTCCTTCAAGATCTCTTTTAAAGCTTTGCACCCCTGAAGTCAGAATAATAGGCCTGCTGCTCTTGTTCATGCAGATCTTTCCTCCCTTCTTACACAGAGAAACCATGTTCTTGTCAAATGATCCCTTTATAATTTATGAGATAGTCACACATATGGTTTCATATACCTGTTTTGTCTGAACTTTGGAACTACAGTTATCATACTCCTCTGAATTGAGCCCATGAGTTGTCCTAAGCTTTGTTCCACCTTTGGCTGTTTATCTGCCATCTCCATACCCACTATAAGCCTCCAGACTTTACTCTGTTGCTAGATCATCATTAGTTTATCCAACATAGATTACAGTTCCTCTTCACAGCACAAGAGTCTTTCTCTTTCCCAAATTTTTCCTAGATTAAGAAGCTTTTGCTATTTTTCTCAAGCTCCTTTCATTTGTTTTTACTTTGTCCCTATATATCCTGCCTTCCAAGACACAACTTTTTTTCTGATCCGTCTTTTTCCTCTGTCCTCGAATTATCTACCAACATCCTTTCTGTGATGATTACCTATCAAATTAGATATGGTGCTTTTCCCAAATGTCTTTTTTCTTTTGTTTAGGATATAAGTTCTAGGTAGTTTTCACATATGAAACTAAAAACTCTACACCTCCTCCACATTTCAACTTGTGAGTACTTATTTTGAAGTTTCTTTTATTTTTATTCTTCCACAGAAGCCATGGTGGTCCTCAAAACTAACTCTAAAACAGGATTGACTGAGAAGTCATTTGGTGAAGAAGTATTTCATCTACCATGTTTATAGGTAACTTGAGAAATAGGTCCCTACTTCTGCACACCTTCCCCAACCTACATCTAGAATGTCTAAGTCTCACATAGACACATAATTTCCAGTAGGTATTTATTTCTCTAATTATACTACAGAGATCTCTGTCCATGTCTAGACTATAAAGATGAACTAAGGGCTTACAGCAGCCATCTGGAATGATTTCTACAGGTTCTCTTTTACTAACTCCTCCAAAGTATTTTTGACACATACAAATTTCGTCTTAGGACACCAATAAATACTAATAATCACTTCTTTTTTTCTGAGGAAGAATTTATGACACACTGGGTTTTTTTGAGAAAGACAGTATACAATATTTCCAGGCCACTCCCAAAGCAATTGCATCACTGGACAGCACAAACCCCAGGGCTGCTGGATTCCTGGCTGCCCTAACACTGGGATACTTCAAAAAAAGCAGTCTCCTATGAAGCCTGGGGGAAGGATAACCTGAAGGGGCAGCAGCCTGATGACTCAGTAGGCCTGGGGAGGCAGACCAGAAAGGTCTGACCCTCCACCAGGAAGACAGAGAGCTGCTATCCCACTGCAGGGACAAGGTGGGAGCTGGCTATGCTAGAGCAGGTGAGACTTGGGGGCGGAAGGGAATAGAATTTACTCGCTTCTAACTTTGGTGGTGTAGCTTTTGTCCATCTTAAGAGGTGACTTTATCCATTTCATTATTTATTACCACACCAGCAATCTTATCAGCCCAGCAGAATCCCAAGGGCTGACTGGTGGAAGCAGTGAGGGGAGGGCAGCAGTCCCTCAGCTCCGCTCCCTCTGAGGCTTCAGTGAAGCTGATGCACCCCAGGGACAGCATTTCCACCCCCACACAAGCAGCATTTTCTAACTGAGCATGGCCCCAACCAAAAACTTGTGGCAAACTCTTGTCTGCAGCTCTATAAACTCCAGTTACCAACAAAATATTTAAATCTTTCACAAGCATTAAAAGTGTGAAGCAAGACCAGTATTTCAGCCATCAAATGAGTAATATCTGAAGCAGACTCAACAAGAAACTTGTGGGAATTTTTGTCTAGCATTATTTACTACTTCAAATTAGTTACCAGATCTAGCCTGTTCAGACTGCTGTGCTTGTTACACTAACAGGAAAAAAAAGCTGAATTCTGGGAGTCTTTTTTTTGTTGTTGTGGTATACTGTCACTCACTTTCACTAACACAATACAAAAATGATGCCTGGGATTACAATAGCATGATGGAAACTTTCTACTACACTTCAGTGAATCTAAGGGAAAACATGTACATATGTGCTACAGATATTACATGCATTTCCAGGAACGCTGTCAAAATTGAAGACATCAAAAAAAAACAAGACAATTAGGAAGAAAACTGCTTCATCAACTTCTTCCATTACTCATACCATGGGGCAGATGTAAGATCAAAACCAAAAGCATAATTTTTGAAAGCCTTTTGAAAATTTGGCTGGATTTTCTACCTTGTCACCTTCATGAGCCATGGAAAGAATGAGCAGATTGTGATCTTTTGAGAAGGAAAACACAACCTAAAGTATCGATGGAGTTCAGGATTAGGTCCAGACACCTAATTGTTTAATTCAACAACAAACCACATTGTACTTCTCTTATGCATCTGCAAAGAGAATAGGATATGATGAAACAGAAAATTCTCCCAGTGGTTTTGTGTATATCATCCTTGCCACTTTCATAATTAGAGGACATAGGCTACCATTAAAGTCAATTGCAAAGTTCCATTGACTTCAGTAGATGTGAACCAGGCTTAAATATTATGCTTTTCAGTTTTCTTGAGGTTTAAACACCTCATAAAATAAATTTACAGATGAACTAGTAAATGTACACTTACAAAGAAACCTCCTAAGGAGTCCCTGAAGCCATATTTTTAAATGCTGCTATTCATTCAGTTTATGTCAGGCAGATTAAGGGACTGTCAAACACGGGTGTATATATCAAGAACAGCAATAAGAAATGCTGAAAACATATTCCAGAAATATAATTTCAAAAATATCATTTGATACATTTGACAAAACAGACTTAGAAGAGTGTTTTATATGATGTGACATATTTCACAAGCTCAGAAAACCCTATCTATTTATTTATCTGCCTATCCATTTCACTAATCTGTAAATGAAAACATGTACAGTATATGCAGCAAGTTTTTTTTTCCAAGAACCCTTTCAAAACCACTGACATAAAAACGGAAGAAAAACTAATTGAGAAAGAGAAAAAGTGCGTGGGGAGAGAGAGTCTAACAGAAGTCAGAAATACTACCATCCAGAACTGATGTTTTCTTCTTTAGTGCTATGTGCCCATTTGGTATAATTTTTGATCTCACAGATTTTCCACGTGTAAAACTCCAATTGACTTCACTGCAAATGAATGAACTGCAGAATCTAATTAAGCCTTCTGAGGTTTGAAAAACAATATCTCACATGCTGCCTGAACACTTCAATGAAGAGGCAAGGATACTGTCCAGCTCTCCAGAGCAGACTTCAACTATCCAACCTGGAGATCTTGTTGGTTTTTTCTACCGTGCTCTGCTTCATTCAGAAAATACCTTGCATCTTCTCAACAACTGTTGTTAGCATCCACCAGTCCTCCTCAGTGCTGCTTTATGTCCAGAACAGATCCATGTTAGATATAGGGATGAGAGAAAACAGAGTGCAGTCGCAAAACTAGAGTCAGTGTTCCAATGCAAATATGTGTTGGAAGAATACTGAGGCTGCAGGGTTCATTCTGCTAATCTTAATTTTAGTATACTTGTCTATGCATCTTGAATATTATCTTAATGAGGTGTTGTGAATACACTTGTTTTTAAAAATAAACTAATACAGACTACTTTCATTATGTGTATCATACCCACAGAAACCCATCAACTAAGATGGTGCCTTCAGGCCTACACACACTAACAGGGAAATGGACAGTAAAGAACAGAACCGTGGACCTACTCAGGTTGGGAAGAACCTCAGGAGATCATGTGGTCCCACCCCCTGCTCAAAGTAGGACCAATTTCACCATTAGATGTGGTTGCACAGGGCCTTGTTGAGGTTGTCCAACTCTCTATGTGCATTCAGGCTAGTGGTGAAGAGGAACTATGCTGGAGGCTTGCCAACAGCACACAAACTAAAATTTGGGAGCCCTAAGATGCATTCCAGCTCAGAAGGGACAGGCTCCCTACTCCTGGTTCCACCACATAGCGTCACTGTAGCTCAAAGTAATACCCAGGGGCAATACTACAGGGGTTGCCTCTGTTTTGGCCTCTGGTACACCCAGTTGGTGACTGCTCAGTCATTCTGTGAGGACAGTGTATGGAAAGTCTGATCACGGGAAGGAGCTGTGAAAGGCGGAGAAGATGAAATCTCTGGAAATATTTGCTGTTAGGCTTTAGTAAATCCCTATGGAATATTTGGTAACTGTGGTTTTTTCCATGTCTCGAAACAGTTGACCAAACTTGAAAGGCTTTGTGAGGATGGCAAAAGGCGCATACCTGATTCAAAGGCAGAGAAATGTCTGTCTTTGCTCAAAAAATACAGGGGTCAGACTATTTATTTATGTAAGCAGAATATCTAGCCTTCTTCTTCAATCACTTTTCAATTCAAAGATTCAAAAACCTAGAGACCGACATCAGATAAAAATAATTTTAGCCCAAATACATTAACATTGGCAAAGCCCTGGAAAAAAAACTAAAGCAAAATATTATAACAGGAAGCACTAGGAGACCTTCATCATGGCCAGAGCTGCCCATACTGCCTGTAATATTGTTTGTTAAGCACTTTGGAATCCTTAGAAGTGAACAGAACCACATCACTAAAGCTGATGGACTGCATTTCTCTGCTCCCCATTTCTGCTGCAGTATCTTACTGTTAATTATTGTTGTTGTAAACCACAGCTGGGTAGTGGGAGCACCAGTTAAGTATGTTTTCCTCTGGAACTAAACTCCAGGAAAATAAAAAATTCTAAATATGCATTGCATCAGGATTAAAGACAAATTTTGAAGTTTGTTTCCAGAGAAAATGTTGGTGCATTCAAACTATATTAATATACAGGGGAGGGAGTGCCAAAGGACAAGAATACTCCACAAATACAGCTGCAATTCCTTGAAGTCAGAGCAAGCAGCTCCTTGCCCACAAGATGAGGTAAGTTAGGGATGTAGTGTAACAGCCTGCATAACAAAAATGGATCTTGTAGCTCTAACTATCTGGGCTGTGAGGCCCCAAAACTAACAATATTAAACACATCATACATATGGTTTTTGTATTCAGCTTGAGTTTTATTTGACAGTCCTAAATCCTCATTTTCTTTAACAGTATTCTTTCTATCATTATTATTAAGGAGGTGATTTTTTCTGAGCTTCCAGTACGCAATGTCACTAGCTCATAAGGGATCACTCATGGACTCTCCATTCTATCATACTCAGCAGAAAGTTTGCTGCTGATTTCAGAGGAGCAAGATTTCATCCCACAGGAAATCAAGGTAAATGGGAAATAATACTCATTTCATTCAATTAAATAATAAAGCTCACACATTTTCAGGATCTCAGTCCACAGACATTTCCTTTTTCTGTCAGAAAAATACAGGTGGGAGGATATGTAACATAAAGTACAAAAAAAAGATGCTGTAACACAGACTAAGACAACAGGGCCAAAGCTGTAAATTCCTTCCATCAGCATGGTAATCTGTATTTGTAAAAGGCCAATATTGAGCAGGCAGTAAAAACAGAAATGCATAACCACATCACATCATTCCAGTGCCAGAAATATTCATACTAATTTCCACCATCAAATACACAGTATGATTACTTAAAGGTTTTCTTAACCAGTCTTACTTATAAAAACAAAATCCTCAAGATGGTATAACTTCATATTTTCATATTCTCTAACATGAATATACATCATATCGGCAACAATCTGTACCTTGTGTACAAGTCTCCTTCAGGGTTATTAACATGGAATCAACGTCTTGCAGTAAGTAAACACTTATTTTTCTTGGGGTTTATGTTAAAAATTGTAAATTAATCTTTCAAGTCATTTTGAACCAGTAAAACAGTATTGACAAAGCAAGCACTGTAGTATGATATCTTTTATTAGGCCAACTTAGAGTTCAAAAGTATGCAAGCCTCCTTGACCACACACAAGTTCGTGTATGCAAAACACCAGGCTGGACCCATAAAACATATTAAACTGCTTGTTTTGTCACTACAGATATATATATATATATATATATATATATATGAAGTATGTATATATAATGTATGTATATATGCATATATATACACATTTTAAAAGCTTCAGAATAAACTGTTCATTGATACAGGTTTAAAATAACAACTCTGAAGGATTTCTGTGGGTTGGCATGTAAGCTTGCTATATATTACTGGGTTTAATAAAGAAAATTTAGCAGCACACAGAACAAATCCTGCTTCTGATTTCTAATGAGGTCTAATTCCTATGAAAAAAAAATCATAGTAATACTGTTAGCAACCATATGTTCTTTGCTGTTTATAATAATAACAATGAGAATACCTGGCAAAGATATAGCACAGTGTTTCACATAAAGTGTTTTACAAGGAATAATACAGAGGGTCACTAACCTTGTAATAGCTATGATACTTCAGGATGCTTTATGCAGGTAAGACCCATTCTAAATGGATATGTCTCTTCTGCATAAAAATTTAAATGTTTCTAAAGTTGTTATGTGTTCCAGCAAGGTGTGTGCATCACCTGCTCACCTCTGCTTGTCATCCCACAAGCATCGGTAAACAGATCATCACCCAGTTCTTCAATGGCTCTCAGTCCATGTGACAAGCCTTCCTTCCCCAGAACAGAATGACCAGTTGTGGGAGCTACAGACAAAGAATATATCAAAGAACTCTGATGGAGGCAATCTCTCTTCTTTCTTAGAGTTCTGGCACTTGAGAAACTCTTTTTGGGTGTTTCATTAGGAGTGCAGCTGCACCAGCAAATGGAAGCTGTTCATTGGAACAAAGATTGAAGAACTAGTATCCTTCAAACCTTTGGGCTACCAGCACATGTAGAGCTTCCTAAATGTATCAATGACTGCACGGTGCCTCTACACCCCTTGGCTACTGGAACTCTACCAGCACATGCTGTGGTAGTACCTTCTGGTCTAGTTGTATATGCCTTGGGATGGGTTGGTGGATCTAATCTGGCAGCATCAAATGTGGCTCTGATAAAGTCTGTTAACTCATTTTGAATGAATTTGAAGTTGATGCTACATCTCAGATTTGATCCTGAACAACAAAGGCTGTTTGAGACCAAAGAACATCACAGGTTTGCAGAAGAGCTTTGTCTAGATATGGCAGTACACTCACAAAGGACCAACATTTTGACCCTTCTACTGGTGAACTGGGTCATGGGAAAAAAAATATTGGTAAGCGGATACACTGATTAATAAGTAATCTGAAACCACCTTTAGAATAAACTTGAGATGTGGCCTCCGTGTTACCCTATCCACCTGAAAATAATATGGAGGATTAGACATAAAAGCTAGAACTTCATTTACCCCTGAG